GCTTTCAATAGCATGAACAAACTACTTCAATTTCACCTCAAGATAAAAATAGTGCTGAGAATTTACCTCAGAATGTACATGGACATTAGTTCGTTACCAGCGATGTTGATGAATTGATTGAAGACTTGGCAGTTATAAGTGGAGAATTAATATTAAAAAAAGAAGTCTGTAATAATAATTAACTCGTCATTAGTAACGAAAACGGTAAAACCCCCCAAAAATCTGTTATAATAACACCTATTATATCCGACTTGAACACATTCATCTAATTAGTTATTTATTGGTGTGAAAAACAGGAAACCTTTGGGCACATCTGTTTTTGGATTATACTAAATCATTCGATTTCTCGCAAAAGTTTTTGTACAGTTTTGGCCTTGGGATGGTTAAACGGTAAATCATTTATCTCATGGGTGAAACATTTTATACGTCCAAACAGTACTGGTTTGTTCACTTGAAAGTGGCTGTCGCGTACGACTTGTTTACCACTTCCGTGTCACTGAGAATGTTCTAGAACCGTACTGTATCTGGGTGGAATATTCTAGATTTTAGAAACTGGTTGAATAGGTAATAGAACACTGTAGAAGGCAATAGAAGGTAATGGAACATTCTAGAAATTTGTAGTAAGTTCCAGACTCATTATGTATGCTGATGTAATGGTGTATTTATAGACAGTGGGGGTATATACAGGGGAGTTGTTCAGCACTGAGTTCAGATCGGAGATCTCGTTGAATTGTATTGGAGTTTAAGTATCTAGTTATTGGAGTAGTGGAGTTTTACCGAGTTATTGTATTTGATGTTTGCAGAGTATAATAATACCAGTACCAGTTGAAACCTCATCTGTTGGCTCCGTGTTCGCATGTTATCATCGCCGTCAGAGAAGTCTTTCTGTTACTGTTGCCATGTTGGTATTTGAACCATCACACCTGTACTATACCAATTACGGTATTATTACGTTGCGTGTGACATCTGGGGGCTCGTCGTTGTTATACACGGTTGTCTACTGCAGTATTTATTATTTCGATTGAACTACTTGACATTGACATTAAGTGTGATGAACAAATATAAGCATATTTTTTCCATCAGGGGTCCAACAGAAATTGTCTACTTATGCGGATGGCACGATCCTTTTTCTTAGAATCTTCAAATTGCTAGTCAGCATTGAACAGGTCGTGGGTTACATTTACTGATTCAGACATGTTAACTGTTAACAGACAGAGCGGGGTATGGGAGCTCGAATCATGAAACGGATATGTTAATGTTCTTTGGACTTTAATCCAAACCCAAAATACAAATTTTAATTTTTTGAATAAAAGAATATTAATGAGGTGGAAAGAAATCGAGAGAGTTGACCATTCAAAGCAAACCACTTCTCGTAAACGCTTTGGTTCATCACAGCTAATTTATATAATGTTCAACTCCATATTTTGTCGGAAGATAAAACACTCCATGTTGAAAACAATACTGGTAGATTTTCAACTAAATTAATAAAAATCACTAAAAAATGGAATCCAAAATTCAAATGCAAAGTGGCTCCGCATTCCTAAATATTTTTTTTCTTCTCAAAAGCTAACTGTCACGTTAATATTCTGTGTTGTTGGGTGTATTTTAGACATAAACATACCAATTCGGATTTTCGAAACAATATTATTTCGCATAATAAAGATAAAAGGGGAAATTATTTTTACTTTTACAAGAAGTGCTGTGTCAAATCTTGATTCCAGTGATCATTCAGCATGTTTCAAATATAAAATGATTATTCATGCTCTCAGAGGTGAACTTTTGATGATAGTACTTATATTTTCAGTGATACAGCTGCGAGGCAGACTGTCAAATGCCCTGTTGTAGTCAATCCATGATGTTTAATTCACTTAGAGCTCGACATATATAACTAAAAGACTACAATTTTCACTAAGTTGTGTGTCACGTACAATTCTTCAGAAATACAGCTTTGAAAAAAAATCCTAAATTTTCACAACATCAACATCATCTGACGTTGTGAATAAGTGAAATCTGATATTGTGTGATTCAAATAATTAAAAGTATGTTCAGTAACAAACTTGCAATCATAAATATTCATCTCATTAATAAGAATTATTGTCTAGCCTCAGTTACGGTGTCGTCGGTATCAATAAGAATTGGTTTCATCTCATGAACTCTCATTTCTTTTTTCAGATGTTTACTTTAAATACAAATAACCTATTTGCAACAGACATTAGTGGAAATCTCGATAGGGTAGTATTTAATGGAGTAAATTCTTACCACAACAAATTATTTTCCAATTTGTGTATGTTTTTGGCAAATTTATATTTAATTAATTTGTAATTTGTTTGTTTTAGTGATTCCTGGTGTTGCTCTAGCAACAAGGTGTTTACTGTTAAAGCTTTTGCAGTCACTATCTGTTATATCTTATTGCTGCGAACCGTGTTACATGTGCAGTGTCGCCATCTTATTATCAGGGTAGATATATATAGCACAGATATAACACACACAACTTACCCCATCTGTATATTTATAATGATACACATTAAAATTGAAAACAACTTTCGACTGCTACCGTGTTGATGACGGCTGTATTACAATTAATTCCCACTCACAAAGCAACCAAAGTGCCAAATGATTTGTTTTACAATATATCCATTTTGTAAGTTTTTTTTTTAGAATAGAGCGTGTATATTATGCCATTACACTTGAAGAATTGAGGTTTATTATGTACACAACTAGGAAAACAAGATTTGAACATCTAACACATACAAGGCTAACAGATTTCTATAAGATCAGAGAACATGTCGAGGACAAAGGGGCCTACGAATTATGTGAGAAATGGTCATTGAATTACTGTAACCAATAACTATTAAGATAGTTCAGCAATGAAACGATATTTATAATAAGCATGTTTTTCTGGATATACAATGCATATTACATTTGAGTAATGATGAAATAAGTGTAACAAAATATCAATAAGTGTATCCGTAGAATTACTGGAACGGAGATGTTTTAAAATTAAACACATACAATGTCATGTCCTAATCAATGTGTCATCCCTCATTTTCCATTCACTGAAAAAAACATATCCTTCATTATTTTCCAAATAAGAGTCAAATGACATCAGCAACACTGGGCAAACAGTCTCCATTGTTGATTATTGATACAATTAACTACATCTGACTGACATTGTAAGCAATACAGCAAACATACTACGTATGTGAGTCCTGGCGCGATGTATACTTTATTCAAGTGATAACAGAAACTATACTACATAGATATTTGCCTATTTGAACGATAATGGTTACATCATGTTGACGTCGGAGAAACGTATTCAAACAAGACAGCGCAACTTATAAAGACGATACAACCATTGTGTAGACATCTAGTGTGAGTGCTTAATATATTGTTTAAAGATAATTATTCAACATTTTTAGATCGTTCAATTACTAACATGATATACGCATTCTTACAGGCTTTCAGAATATAAATATTTGATTTTGTGTCCACACATCAAAACAGTTGCACCAAAGCCGATTAAACAATATAT